CTCTCTCTCTCTCTCTCTCTCTCTCTCTCTCTCTCTCTCTCTCTCTCAAATATTTTTTGAGTTGTAGATGGATACAATACCTTTATTTTATTTATTTATTTTTATGTAGTGCTGAGGATCGAACCCAGGGCCTAACATGTGCTAGGCAAGCGCTCTACCACTGAGCCACAACCCCAGCCCCCCACCCCAGATCTTTTTATTTGTTCTTTTTAGATATACATGATATACACGACAGTAGAGAGTATTTTGACACATTCTACATACACGGAATATAACTTTCCATTTTTGTGGTTGTACATGATGTGGAGTTACACTGTATTCATATATGAACATAGGAAAGTGATGTCCGATTCATTCTACTGTCTTTCCCAATCCCATTCTCCCTCCCTTCCCTTCATTCCCCTTTGTCTAATCCAGTGGATTTCTATTCTTCCTTCCTTTCCCCTTTATTGTGTGTTAGCATCCGTGTATCAGAGAGAACATTTGGCCTTTGGTTTTTTGGGATTGTCTTATTTCACTTAGCATAAGAATCTCCAGTTCCATACATTTACTGGCAAATGCCATAATGTCATTTATCTTTAAGGCTGAGTAATATTCCATTGTGTATATATACTACATTTTCTTGAAGCGCACCTAGGTTGGTTCCACAGTTTAGCTCTTATGAGTTGAGCTGTTATGAACATCAATATGTAGCTGCATCACTGTAGTATGCTTATTTTAAGTCCTTTGGGTATAAACTGTGGAGTGGGATAACTGGGTCAAGAAGTGGTTGCATTCCAAGGAATCTCCATACTATTTTCTAAGGAATCTCCATACTATTTTCCAAAGTGATTACATCAATTTGCAGTCCTACCAGCAATTTCTTGGTACTCAGGAAATCAGAGACAGGGTATAGCAACAGAAATGTTCACAAGCAGCAGGAAGGCGGCCTCCTTCTTACTTCCCATTTTTTAATTTATTAAAACATTTTTTTTTTTGCAGTGTGGCAAGCATGTATACTACGCAAACACTCTTTCACTAAGCTCTACCCAGTCCTTATGCAAATATTTCTAATTTTCAAAATTCAATTAGCATTCAGAGCCCAACCCTAGGAAAAATCTGTGGAGTGCTGCTTTTAGCTTTCCAGCCTCTGAACACAAGAGAAGGGTAGAATAGGTAACAGGCTCTCTCATTGGCTAGATCAGCCACACTGTGGATGAATGGGGGACAGAGCAGGAAAAGCCCTCCCCTAAGCAGCAGGACCAAGTTGTGATGAGCAAGGGTCACACTAGCCATCAACTTGGGCAAGTTATCTGACACCTCTGTTCCTCAGTTCCTAATACTAGTGCCCACCTCATAACAATGTTGTGAGGGTCACATATGTACTGACTTGCAAAGCTCTCAGAATCTAGGAAGTCCTCATGCATATGTTGTTATTGCCTCTCTCCTTTGCCCTCATTTCTCTGGAGCCACAGGAGATCTCAGCCATCCTTACCCAGATGTTGGGTCACCCGGAAGGTGGGGAGATGGTAAGGGAAGGAAGAGGGTATCTTTTCTCTCTCTGTCTTGACACTGCACAGAACTGCAGTGTTGGAAACTAGAATTCCCAGGGCATCTCCTGTGGAAACATCAGCCTGGGTCATGCTCACCTTAGAATTGTTTGAATTATGCTACAGGGGGACGCTGTATCAAACTGGCTCTAGGTTCTGAATTAGTAATTGTCCTAGTCCATATTATTTCTGTGGAAAGATATCCCAAGTAATGAAGTTTTAAAGTCCAAGTTGGGGACTGCTTGCACTGCTATTATAAGCTGGGGATACTGAGAGTCCCATGGACAAAATGAAGATCTAACAAAGAAGGAAGTGGGGAAGCCTTCCCTTTCAGATGTCCACTGCAGGCCAACCTTAGAGGGACTTATGTTTGGGGCAGGCAAGATTATGAGTAGTGAAGACCAGCTTTATTTGATGAAAGCAGAGGGGAGGGGGAGGGGTGGAGGAGGCAGCTCATTTCTTTCTCCTCTATCAAATATTAACAATGATTCTATCACAGGTAAGATGCTTTTTATTTTTTCTTCCCAATTATATCTTAAATGTAAACTCTTGGGGGGAAAGGAGTGGACAAGAGTATCTCATGTTAATTTTGTACATAATCTGCTGCATTTATATTAGTCTTATTTAGCAAAAGCAAAATATTCTGTGAATATTTCCTCAGGAGTTTTTATTTTTCCTCCTCTGTGCCAGCCTCTGTTCCAGACTCATCTGGTAGAAAGAATTACAAATATTCCAACTAAGTCATTCATACGGGCAAGGCAGTTAGACTGTATTGTCATGTGTATGGATACAAAGGGAAAGAATAACACAACATTTTAAGAATGCTTTTTTCCAGTTTATTCACCACCAAAACTAATTAATTATAAGGCAGGTAGAAAATACTAGGGTAGATTCAAGATAAAGCAGAAGCGAGGTGGGATTTCCAGAATGAAACTCAGTGGGTACTTTCTTCAGCAAAACAAAAAATTAACTGGTAAAGGTGTTTTTTAGAAATCATTTTAAGTCTCCATAAGTCGTCCTAAGAGCATATGGCAAATGAAGAAAAATACTGAAAACTGAATATTAGAACAGCAAGAACCTGTGCCATTTGAGCCATGGCCCACTCCATTACTCACGTGCCCCACCCCAACTCCATTCTGGAGAAGCTCCAGGGCATATGTGGCCAAGAAGATGGGGACTGTCTTTCCCCAGTCTTCATTTGGGGCTGTGGTTTCATTCTGGGAGGCCCGGGCTGCTGATGTTGCTTATCCCTGTGCAGAAGTTGTATTCCAGGTAGGCTCAGCAGAGAGAGCCAGGTCTCTTTCTTCCCTACCAACCTCCATCCCCTTGTAGGCTCTGGAGGCTGAGAATACTGAGGTGCCAATCACTCCCATCCCAGCTGGCTCAGAGAGTGAAGGTTCCATGCTGGGAAGGTCAAGCTGAGAAATCAGTTACACCACCAGGAGCTGCCACCTCCTGAGATGTCATTCCTCCCACCTCCAACTCCGAGGGACAGTGATTCTACCCAGAAACAAAGATAGGTCAGAAGGACAAAGAGCTCTGCAGATTTGACTGAGGGAATTGATTATTTTAAACATGGCTGAGAACTTCATACCCAAGGGTGTTATAGAAAATAATGAAGATCTTGGTGTATAGCAATTAAGAGGAGGTTGTAGCTTTTATGCAAGTGAAACAGCAGAGCAGCCAGAAGGGTAATAAAG